TTCATGTGTTTCTCGGGTTCCTGCTGCGGTACGTCGAGTTTGAAGCTTTTAGTGTCGGTGAACAGCTTTTTAAAAAAAGCGTAAGAATTATTGTAAAATGATCTCTGACACTGTCGCTTTTTCCTTCCGACGTTTTTCTTTGGTTTTCAGCTCTAGAGATCACTAAGATTATTTCTTTAATATCATTAAGAAGATCTTTAAGGCCTACCCTCTCATGACTTGAAGCTTCATTTAGTTTACGAACCCTCCCCGCTCTTCTCTTAGTTTACCCTTCTGAATCTGTCATCTATTTGATCGATTTTCTTCTTTCCTATTCCCTCTTTCAGTTGTTACCCCAAACACACACACACACACACACACACACACACACACACACACACATATATATATATATATATATATATATATATATATATATATATACCCATATGTGTATGGGCGTGTTGAAAACATAGATGATATCTGTCATATATGAATGAAAAGTGTTATGCTGACACCGGAGTTTGAATGTGAATCTCTAAACAATGGAAATATAGACTGCCATTTCCTATAAATAGATATCATGCCACTGAATTTGGTGGTTACAATTACGTGTGAACTATTGTGTTAACCCGGACGTTAAAGTCGAGTATCACGTGTTTCGAAGTTTCAAAACTTCTGCTCTTAGTTTACCCTTCTGAATCTGTCGTCTCTTTGCTCACTTCTCTTCTTTCCTATCCCCTCTTTCACTCAAGACAAACCTCGCGCACAACTCTGCAGAAAGATCTTATCTGCTGGCTAATGGGGCCCTTTAGATGGTTGCTAAGGGTTAATGAGAGTTCCTGATTGAGATTCAACCAAGTAGCTCTCTGCTTGCCTTTGAGCCACTGGATTCTTGGCTTGCTTGGAATTCCTCCAGGGTGCTGACGTTCAGCAATGAGATCCTGAACACTGTTGGTGTTATCCGGATTCATAATCCCGTCAATCGACTTGAATTCTCCAATAGAGCAATTGCGTTGTTTGCACCAGCGTGCCTTATGGATATGTAAACCTCGCAGGTAGTCGAATTTCCTGCCGCAATAACACATTGTAGCCGCTTTCAATTCCATGTCGTTATCATTTGAATCAGTCAGATGACTGATGTATTGTTCTTCCTTGCAGAGGGCATTTTTTTGTTTCTTGTCAGCCATATTTGCTTTAAGCTTCATGCAATATAGCCGCCCTCAGACGATTCGTAGCAGGATCCTGCTTCATTATGGGAAATTTTTTAGTAAAACTGAGAAATAGTGTCCCTTGGATGTTTCTGGTTTGTATCCTTGCTTTCTTGGCATCGAATTTCCTAGTCTCAGTTATGGAACATGATGTATTCTTTTAAGATAAACTTCTTGTGTGTTCTTTATTATTTTTCTTTTCGGGCTTGGTTAGTCCGGCGTATTTGTTATAATTTGCTGTTGTTTTCCGGTTTATTTATATTTAAATTTTCGTAAGTTTATTCTGATATATATATATATATATCTATATATATATATATATATATATATGGGCTATGAAAAGGCATTAGATTCAGTAGAATACTTAACAGTTTCCAACTGATCAGAAGCGCATCGACCTATTAGTCCTCTACACGTTTTGTCAAATATTAGATGCTCTAATCAACTCCGAATGAATTAAGCCTCCTACCTCGCAGGGTCATTTTTCAGACTAATAATATGGCTTTCGCTTCTCTAAGTTAAACGCTGATATGTTAACGGTTGATAATGTACGAATTTGTCAAGATTTAGATAAGAATGGCGGAGGTTGGACTGCGAATTTAGATATCTTGAAGGCGTTTCAAGTGCTTTGACTTTCTGGTCTTCTTCAGAAGCTGGTCGAATTTTTGATTTGATTCAATATTTCTTATCAAAGCGCGCAATGGGTGTTGTCTTAAATGGCCACTCTTTGAGATCTTTTTACGTTAATACAGGGGTCGGCAAGGGCTTTATTCTAGAACCTCCCTAAATACCATTCAACCTTGCATCTAACACTGCAACCACATCTGATCTGGTGCTTTCACTATATATCTAGAATTTCTTGACAAAATCAAAAGAAGAATCTGCAATTTAATCAGTCCTGACCTGACATCTCGGTTTCAGTCACTTTCCACCGTAGTTTCCTTGTGCCTTTTCTATAAGTATTTTCATGGTAAATGTTCTAATGTGCTTTCATCTTTCATACCTCCAATTGACTAATTGAATAGCAGTACTCGATTGGCAGTAAGGTCTCATAATCTCACTGTTGAAATTGCCACATTTCACCGAAAGTTCTCTGCTAATATTTTCTTCACTCGTACATTTCATTTGTGGAATTTTCTTCAGAATTCTTTCTTTCCTGTCAGCTACAATCTTCAAAAATTTAAATGCAACACCAATCGTGAAATTCTACCCCCTGAAATCCCTGTTCTTTTATTGTCCTATCTCCTTAATAACGTTTTCTCATTTACACTCAGTAACCATCCCCCCCACCTTGCGTCTTAGTGGCTTTA